ATATACGATAATTTTGACCTCATCTCCTATAAGGATCCCTATCGTACCCTTTAAAGGATTGAACCCTGAACCTTAAAGTTCCAGGAGCTGTTCTCCCTGATGCTTGAAGATCATGGTGTCGCCTGCAGACATGCCTCTCTCGATGCTGATCGCCAGGCGATTCCTTGCTCTCAAGGGTCTGCCTTAAGAACCCCAAAACCTACTTTTTTGTAGGGTCCCTATAAATCCCGTATTAGGGTTTATAATGAGAACCTACAACACGTGGGTTTGGGGTTCTTAAGGTAGGGCTTAATGTACGGGGGTTTAGGGCTCTATACGATTCCTTGCTCTCAAGGGTCTAGGGCTTAATATAGGGGGGGTTTAGGGCTTAATATAGGGGCCATAATACTTAGAATAGGGTTTTGGGGCCCATTATACTATAATTATATAAAAAGGAACCCCGAATAGTATAGGTGATTGTTAAGGCCCCTATATTGGGGGTTTAGGGTTTGGGGTTTCGAGTCGAAGGATTTGGGGTTTACAGTCGCCGGGTTTGGGGTTCAGGGTTTGAGGTTGACGGGTGAGTTCTGCTGCGCATTCTGTAAGTTTAGGGTTTAGGGTTTAGGGTAAATGCTCGAAGTCATTTTCTATGCGAAACGAGACTTGGATGGATGCTCTTGATTAAAGCTGCGCAGAGAGGATCGAAACGAGCTGTTCATATGGACGACTATGTCGGCGTTCGTTCGTTCTTGACACCAAGAAAACCAGTGTACGAGAAGTACCATCAAGTCAACATGCACATGGGGCACCTGTTCTTGATTAGACATCCCTGCATTGGTAAGCTACATTCAACCAAATTGCGACGGCAAGGTGTATTGCTCATCCTGCTCGTTTTTTTTCGCAATAGCATTCCGTAATACAGGGGTCTTAATGATTAACATTGGGTTTGGGGTATATTATATATACTATAATTATAATACGGAACCACCAAAACCCTACTCTAATTATTAAGGCCCCTACATTAATTAAGGGATGTTGGAGTCCGTGGTCACCCAAAAGCTCCGAAAGACGCTGAAAGGTCGCCTCAGTGGTCGAGTTGATCGTCTGGACTTTCAGGGTGCAAGGCTTCTGGGGTGGCTCACATCCAAACCCTAGCCTAAACCCACATAGCACCATTTAAAGACCCTACTAAACCCTAAACCCACATAGCACCATTTGAAGACTCTAAACCCTAAACCCTAAACCCACATAGCACCATTTAATGTCCCGAACCCCAAACCCTAAACCCACATAGCACCATTTAATGTCCCTAACCCCAAACCCTAAACCCACATAGCACTATTTAATGTCCCTAACCCCAAACCCTAAACCCTAAACTCACATAGCACCCGTTAAACTACCGTGCTCCAGCCTTGAAAGAAACCCTGCCCTATCGAGCCCTGAAAGGAATCCTTACAATGAACCTCGAAGGAACCCCGGCAGAGCCCCCTAAACCCTAAACTCGAAAAAACCCTAAACCCTAAACTCCTAAACCCTGAACTCCTAAACTCCCTAAACTCCTAAACACTAAACTCCTAAACTCCCTAAACCCCAAAGCCCTTCATGCAACAAAAAGAGGTCCGGGGAGCTGCTGCACGCGGCACTTCTCCTTAGATGGGACCTGGACCTGCTGCTGCATCACCTGAAGCAAGCGTTCTGGGCTCAAGGGCTTTTTGGGCTTTAGGATTTAGGGTTTAAGATTTAGGGTTTAGGATCTTGGGTTTATACTTTATAGGGTTTAGGGTTTAGGATTTAGGGTTTAGGATCTTGGGTTTAGACTTTATAGGGTTTAGGGTTTACGAGTTTAGGGAGTTTAGGATCTTGGGTTTAGACTTTATAGGGTTTAGGGTTTAGGAGTTTAGGGAGTTTAGGATCTTGGGTTTAGACTTTATGGGGTTTAGGGTTTAGGAGTTTAGGGAGTTTAGGATCTTGGGTTTAGACTGTATAGGGTTTAGGGTTTAGGAGTTTAGGGAGTTTAGGATCTTGGGTTTAGACTTTTTAGGGTTTAGGATCTGGGGTTCAGGGCTTTGGGGTTTAGGATTTAGGGTTTAGGGTTTAGGATCTTGGGTTTAGACTTTGTAGGGTTTAGGATCTAGGGTGTTAGGGTTTAGGATTTATAGGCTTTAGGGCTTTGGTGGCAATAAGGGCTGATACCTATGGTCTCCATTGTAGTTCCTTTTTTGGTTTAACCAATTATATATTAAGGATTTTATAAGGTATCCCCAAAAAGGAACTACAATGGAGACTACAGGTGTTATAGGAGCCTAAATAATTGACAATACTACTTTAAGGGGCGGGGGGTCCTTGTTATAGCTATAGTAAATGCTTTGCGGTTTTGGGGGTTTAGGGCTGCAGGCTGGGGGGCCAAAACCTGGAAAGTTGCGGATCAGGATCTGAGAAGAAGCCTCTCAGGCTGTTGGGCTTATTTTTTACGGGCCCTTTTCCAACTGCAGAACAGCCAGAAGTCCTTACCAGGCTGAGCCTAGATGCCAGTTGGGCTTAAGGGTTTAGGGTTTAGGGTATTAGAGTTTAGGGTGTTAGGGTTTTGGGAAGGGTTTAGGGTTTAGGGTATTAGGGTTTAGGGTGTTAGGGTTTTGGGAAGGGTTTAGGGTTTAGGGTATTACAGTTTAGGGTGTTAGGGTTTTGGGAAGAGTTTAGGGTTTAGGGTATTAGGGTATAAGGGTTTTGGGTTTAGGGTTGAGGGGCCTTCGAAACTTGGGCCTATGGACCTTGCAGCTAGCACCCTGAGGAGCTAAGGGACTTGGGGATAAGGAGTTCAGGTTTAGTGTTGCAGGCTTCAGGGCTTAAGGTAGGGGCCTTAATGATTAGAACCGGGTATAGTTATAAGAAGGAACTCCCAAAATAGTATAGAAAAATATTTAGGCCCCTATATTAATAGACAGAATGCCTCGGGAAAAGACTCCAGTTTAAGTGCTCGGGGCTCGGAAGCGTAGGGTTTAGGGTTACGGGTTAGGGCTTAGGTTTAGGGTTCACGGGTTTGTAGTTAGGGTAGTGCAGTGTCGTGTGCTATCTAGGCAAGCAGTTCTGGCTTCGACGGAGAGCTTTCTGCACAGCAGAAGCACATGAAGGCGTGGGTTTAGGGTTCAGGGTTTTTTCAAGCAGCGTGCGCATTGTTTGGTGGAAATAGTCAGTAGTCTAGTAGTATCCCCATGCAGTCCTCATTTTACACTGCTAGCATAGCACACTCCAAAACCCAATTCTGATGACTCAGGCCTCTCATATCTAAAAATATTTAGAAACTCAAAAGGTCCAAAGTACCTATATAGTCAAGTGTAGGGTTTCTCTATTCGGAACTATTATACTCTGATTTAAGCAAGTGTCCCCCATACCAGTACCTAGGACCCTTTGGGAAGGCTTATCGGGCTTTGGGTTGCCGAAGCAGACAAAGCTTTGGGAGTAAGATCTGTTATTATAGGTTTAGGGCTTAGGGTTTAGGGTTTGTAAGATCTGTCATACTTATAAGGCAAAATTAAGGATCTTGCTTGGTAGGTTTATATTGTGAAGTCTCTATGATTGGGGTTCAGTAGTCCGCGACTGTGTTGCCTAGCAACACTCGGACTTGGACACGCCGCTTAGAGTCACACGCATTCATCGCCCTGAGCCTGAACATTGAGAACGAAACTCCGGGCTACAATGGGACATGC